ATATATTCCTACATACAAAGACACACAAATATTCTTACATCTGTAATAATACAAATAATCATATATTTTTCATCATTATAAACATTTTTTAGAGACTATATAATCTAATCTATGTATTTTCTAGAGTTTATGTAAATAATGTGTCATGTTTGAATGACGGATATAAACGCTCCTAAAACATTGCCAGGATCAAAATCATAGTGTCTAAAGCAGACCTGGAGATTCTTATCCATGCATTTGTCTCCAGTAGGTTAGACTACTGCAATGGCCTGCTCACAGGTCTGTCCAAACAGGCTGTAAAACAGCTGCAGTACATTCAAAATGCAGCAGCTCGAGTCCTGACTAGAACCAGGAAGTACGACCACATTAGTCCTGACTAGAACCAGGAAGTACGACCACATTAGTCCAGTCCTCAGGTCTCTGCACTGGCTTCCTGTGGCTCAGAGAATAGACTTTAAAACAGCTCTGCTTGTGTACAAGTCTCTCCATGGCCTCGCACCAAAATATATTAGTGACATGTTAGTCCCATATGAACCAGCCCGGACTCTGAGGAGCACAGGGACTGGACTCCTGTTAGTGCCCAGAGTCAGAACTAAACATGGGGAGGCTGCTTTTCAGATTCATGCTGCTAAAATCTGGAACAATCTTCCTGAAGATGTGAGACAGGCTTCTTCTCTGACAATGTTTAAAACCAGATACAGTATATAGATCTACAGTTCTCAAGAGTGATCGATGTTGCCCAGTCGGAGATTTCAGCCACTAACCAAAAAGTGACAGAAATCCCCTTGTTCCATAAGATCCATACTTTCACAAAAATATAGTAAGAGATCTTTTATTTGTCCAACACTGGGGAAATTTCAATGTTGCAGCGCACAGACAGGACAGCAGTAAGAGCACACAAAATAAGTAACTAGCTGCTATGTTTCTTAACTAGCTGTAAACGGTCACAGTTTGTGAACAACTGCAAAGAACGATCAGAACCAGACTCAAAGTGTGAAGAGAACAAACTTATTTGTATAATTTGATCCTAAATCTGAGCTAAAAGGTTTTAATACTGGTTGAACACTTCCTCACGTTGGCACTTTCACAAGTTTTTCTCCATGTATTTCCTGACGTCCCCGTAGCAGGAAGTGGCAGCGGCGTCTCCACACCTCATGACTTCCTGTTTACATCCGCACTGTTGTTTACGCGGCAGTGTGCAGTTCAGGTGTAGTGTGAACGCTCGCACTGCTGCAGGTGACAGCTCCTAATCAGCACCCGGCTCTACACCGTGTGGATCTGTGCCGCTCACAATGCACATCATTTGATTTGATTTGTAGGAGGCGTGAAGGGTTTAGAGTGTTTCATATTTTAGAACGTCAAATAATACTCATAGTACGCATCTACAGTAATTGGATCCCTGATGAATTACTGTACATCTGCTCAATAGACCCATGACTACCAGGTAATGTTGACAAGTCTGTTTCAGGAGAACTCAGCTTTGCTGAGATAATAGTCACAGATGAGGATTAAACAGCAGTAGGGCTGCATAGGTGCCTTTGTCTGTACTCCACTGAGCTGATTGGGTCGTTGATTGTGGCCTGTGGAATGTTGGTCCTCTCCTTTCACTCGCTGTTTACTTGTTGGATATTGGCAGGAACTGGAACTCACGCTGTCATGTGTAGCAATCCAGAGCATTAAACCTGCTCGATGGGCAACAAGAGGCTGAGGTCACTGTTGTGGATGGAGAGGACCATGATGGAGGTGGTTGATTGATCTCGATTGTCTCTGTGCATTGGATGTGTTATAGGTAAGTACTGGTACAGCAGATACTAACCCCCCCAACCCCCAAAAGCAAAAGAGACCCTCTGAGGGAGGCCTTTTATCAGCCTGAGGCAACTGTGCAGTATTCTACGTCTAATCAGCATCTGTTTGTGCCTCCCCTGCAAGGTGGAATGGATTAGCTCAGTATAGAATAAGTGCATAGAATATGGGAACTTGAGCACCTAACTCTCCTCTTCCTACTTTATCCGTCATCATTATGTCTCCAGCTGTAGTCTCCATCAGCACCCGTGGACTGTCTTCCCCAGCTCGGACTGGGCTGCACCCATGACCCATGAATGACTGAGGCCACCTTTCCGATGAAGGAGGGTCACAGGACAGTGGCGATGATCCAGGACACTCCACATTCAACGAAACATTTATAGATTTTATTAACATTTTATGAACATTGGTCTCTGCCCCTTATGGACCAATGGCTCTAAGTGTTTTTCATCATTGCATTTCTTGTGTTTGAAATGTCTGAAATCTCTTATCTTTAAAAGCCAAACCAGGCTTGGATTTTTAGAGTAGAAGGATGGGCATTGGCTTAAATATTCTACTGGATCGATCGGTTGTCGTCATTCTATAATTTCGCTCCAAAGTCAACACTACATGTTTGCCTGGGCCTGACTGCACCTACTGCACGTAGGTGCCCACAGCTGGACATAATTATGAACCCCTTGGGGAGATAGGCTTCACTACTGTAGATAGATATTTATTGATCCCTGTGGGAGAAATTCAGATGTCCAGTAGCAGCAAAAATAAAAAATATAATTGCTCATACTAAAAAGCTAACAATAGTAATAATCAGCAACAGCCCTTCAGGTCACAGCAGCAGAGGTGGAGTAGCCTCTGGGTGGAGCAGGACGGGTCATAGCAGCAGAGGTGGAGTAGCCTCTGGGTGGAGCAGGACGGGTCACAGCAGCAGAGGTGGAGTAGCCTCTTGGTGGAGCAGGACGGGTCATAGCAGCAGAGGTGGAGTAGCCTCTGGGTGGAGCAGGACGGGTCACAGCAGCAGGGGTGGAGTAGCCTCTGGGTGGAGCAGGACGGGTCACAGCAGCAGAGGTGGGGTAGCCTCTGGGTGGAGCAGGACGGGTCACAGCAGCAGAGGTGGGGTAGCCTCTGGGTGGAGCAGGACGGGTCAAAAGGTGGTGTAGCCGCTTGGTTCGGACCATTTTCTCTGCTCTGGTCCAAAGTAAAATGCTAAATGCTTCATTAGCATTCTTACAGTGGATTTTCACCTGATCCACTTGGTCCGGACCATGAATTCTCTCCGCTCTGGTCTGGACCAGTGTAAAACCATGAACACTGTACTGCAGCAACATCTCAGGCAGAAAAAAGCAATACAAATAAAAATTGCAAAGCACAAAACAACAACTGTTTCAGAGCTTCTTGGGACTTGCAGCCGTTTTTCAGTGCGTTCAAAAAAGTACGTAATGAAGAGCACTGCTGATCAGGACATAAATTGTAAATGTCTGCATGAAATAAGACTTCATTATTGAAAAGCAACTTGAAATAAAATAAAAATGTTCTTCAATAGACAGTTAGAAAGTTAGTGAAAGTGGCTGACAGCAGTGCACATAGATCATCATTGATAAGATCTCTTGAATCGTGGCCAAGTCCATGAATCACAGGTACATGTCGTCAGTGTGATGTGGTCGGGTTGGTTACCGTCTTTTGTTCACTGTAAACACTCGTGACAACAGCTGTATTCACACTGTAGAGCAGAGGATCAAAAACCACAAACGCTCAGATAAACAAAAGCATAAGCAGCGCTCTGATCATATTACATGGACTTGAAAACAACAAGGAAGCAAAATATACTGTAAACGCAGCGCTTTGGTTTTTGCTCCCATTTGTCATGACTTCAACCTAAACATTAAAATCTAGATGTTCTCAGTTCTATCAGATGTTGTGCACAAATGTTTCTCAATCTGTTTCAGATTCTTATTCTTTTCATGTTCTGTTGTGACATATCGTACTGGAAGTTTGCCCATAATAATAAATAATAATAATAAAAGAAGCCGTTCAAAACCGCACCAAGTAGTTAGTTTGATTTGTACTAGAGCCGGGACTTTGATGTGTTAATTAAGATTTATTCATTACACATAAAAAAAAATACATTTCTGCAGATGCACCGCTGCCTCTATGCTTCGGACAACCACAAACCAGTCAACAAGAAAGAATAAGCTGACTGCATGGTTAGAATCATGGATGGGAAATGCTGTTATAAACACGAACAGATGGAAGCGTCGATAAGAGTTTGTGTATCTCTGCAGCACATGGAGTATCACTGCAATGCTAAACATAGAGCAGCTAGCATGGACGCTAGCCCACGTCCAGCTACCCTCCACCAGGTGACTGCTTTAAGAATGTGGCTCACTGGACTCGAACGTAGACCATTAGACTGGTACAAGACAAGAGCCTGCAAAATGTATTATTTCTAAATATAAAGTGGCGGGGGCAGCCGTCTAAGCACAGATGTCCAGACTTCCCTTTCCACACACACTTCCGTGGGGACTCGAGGCGTTTTCAGGCCAGCCGAGAGACTTTGTACTTTACAATTGTTATGTTTCGTTTCGTTAATGCAGTACAGTGTTCATGGTTTTACACTGATCCAGAGCAGAGCAGAGAGGATGGACGCTCCCAGCCAAACAGATCGAGCAGAAATCAACTAGGAATGTAAAATGTTTTGGAAAATGCTCATATATCCTCGAGCATTTCATTCAGGATTCATAATCTGCATTCATCAACCAGTGGACCAGCGGCTCCACCACCTCTGCTGCTGTTGCATTTTATTACTAATGTTAACAACTTTTTGAACAATTAATTATTTTGTGTGTTTATTTGGTTGTGTTTCTGCTGCTGGATACTTGCATTTCTCCCACAGGGTAAAGTATCTGTCTAGTTATCTATCTATCTATGTCTCCTTTACTCTGTATGAAACTAAAGGGACATTTTTGTTTCCTCCAAAAACGTTTGTGGATAGATTAGCGACACCGATATATTCATATTCATTACAACTTTTCTACTTGAGACTTGATCTACTCTTTGTCCATGAATCCGCTTAAAGACAAAGGTCCACATCAAGTGAAGGATGGACAGATAGAAGCTTAGCAAAAGTCCAAACAGAAATTCGCTTGTTTTTTGTTGAATTGCTGCTCAATAAAATAATAAAAAGAATCCAATAATGTCTGTATTCAATCCCATCCCATTTCCCGCCCACAGCTCGACCTGCAGCCCACCCGTCCAGGGCTCGGTCCAGCTTCAGCCCCAGGAGAACAATGCAGCTCCACCTCCACACGGAGCGAGGCGTAGGTGTGGGGAATGTTCTGGAACAATCAATACGATCAGTTCACATCAAAAAGAAGAGATGATCTGCCTCCAGAACACACCGCGGCCAAACGATTGTCTTATAGTTTTCTCTTCTGGCACAAGAACTTACAGTCATTCAATATTAAGTAAAATCTTGGCTGTTTGTCCGAGACTTGCAACATTCTTACAATTATAGTGATCGTTTACAAGAGTAAGGAAGTACAAGAGGTCTGTTATTTGTCCTTTAAACTCAAAATTAGCTAACTAGTTGCTTTTCTCGGACTGAAAAGTGAAATGGAGAGGACCACCCACACTCTCTGCCCAATAGTGACTCACAGGGCTCAGTGCGCAAAATGCTGTGGTCTGATTTGTTCACATTTTACGTTGGGACAATCACACAAGTTGGGTACCACACTCTTAAACTTGAGAATATTAACTTTGCCATTTCAAGTTTTAGATGTAGAAAATGGATTCAATAACAAAAAATACCCTCATGTTGTTTGTGCCAGAGACAACAGTGAAAAAATATACCAAAATATCAGAAGCGATATCTTGTAAGAAACTGGGACATGGCTTTCCCAGGAGACCAGAAGAATCACAGTGATTTAAATAGCTCTGTTTAATGGACAAACATATGGAACAATCGTAAGAGAGAGCAAAACAGTGAGAAAGCACATTCTCCTTTTAAATTGACACTTTTTTATTGAACATAATATATCCTGCATTTAACATGTTCGCACATTTCCTCTCTTTCTGCACAATCTTGAGTGTTTCTACCCATGCCAAATGTGACATGTACATTTCTCCTTTGTGAGATAAATAAAGCATATCTTATCTTTTATAATCAACATCTGACATCGTTTGTAGCTGAAAGCCGTTGAAAGAACATAATTTTTCTAAAGCCTGAAGCGTTCACACAAATATGTCTTTCGTCAGGCGTTAGAACTGTAAGTAAACATGTAATGAGCTTGAAACGCTTAAATGTCCATATCACAGGTCAGACCAGGTGAGACCAGGTCAGACCAGGTCAGACCAGGTGAGGCCAGGTCAGACCAGGTCAGACCAGGTAAGAGATGTGAGACCAGGTAAGACCATGTCAGACCAGGGGGTTTGAATATTTCTTCTCTTAATGTTGCACAAACTCGGAATTGGCCTCATTTTGGGGGTCCCATCCCCCAAAAAGCGAAGTGCCCGTATGTTGACGCCATGTCCGATAAACTTGCCGCAGTCCTTTGTCAGCCTGATATAGAAAAACAAACAAAGAAATTACCCTCTTTCATTTTGATGCATTCCTGAAGATGAAAAGCCAACTTGGGTCAAAACAATACACCACAGTTTCCCACCATTGTCCCGGGTCGGTATTGGGTCAAAATTACGGGTCTGGACGGTACAAAGGCCTAATGTTTAAGCTGTCATATGTATCTTTGTATTGACAAAATCACAGCTCGAGGGGTCCATTTACAGTTCAACATTACTACCTATACCCGTAAATGTATACACAGTGGGGGGGGAAAGTGGTTAATCAGCCACCAGTTGTGCAAGTTCCATCCATCCATCTATTTTCTTCCCCTTAATCCATTTCTGGGTCAGGGGGGGTGGAAGTCAGAGATACAGTACCACCCAATTCACAGAGCACCAGCCCAACTTGTCAACTGCTAAAAAATATTTACCCAGAGTTCTTCCTCACTATGAAAAAAGAGCATAGCCAGGCTTACTACATCTCGAATATAAATATGAGGAAGTATTTGCACAGAAATAGTCTTGTATCAGGTAGTGGACTGGCGGCGGGAGAGCGGCAGCTGCGGCGTCACCATAGCAGCAGGTGTGGGGTGAGAGGTGTCCGGTAGCTGCTTTTCCGTGGACGCTCGTCATTGTGTGGACGGCCGGGAAAGACTCCAGGAAGCCTTCAGTCCGACAGCGGGAGCCCATCTGTGGGTCTGCGCACGCCAAGCCACGCTGCGAAATCTGGAGAGGAACAAAACAAGACGCAAACGCCACAAACAGGACGTCCATGAGGGGAGTACATCTGAGAGGAGCAGTAGGAACAGTAGGAGCAGTAGGAGCAGCAGGAGCAGCAGGAGCAGCAGGAGCATAGGAACAGCAGCAGGAGCAGTAGGAACAGCAGGAACAGCAGGAGCATAGGAACAGCAGCAGGAGCAGTAGGAACAGCAGGAGCCGCAGGAGCAGCAGGAGCATAGGAACAGCAGCAGGAGCAGTAGGAACAGCAGGAGCAGCAGGAGCATAGGAACAGCAGCAGGAGCAGTAGGAACAGCAGGAGCAGCAGGGACAGTAGGAACAGCAGGAGCAGTAAGAACAGCAGGAGCATAGGAACAGCAGGAGTAGTAGGAGCAGTAGGAACAGCAGGAGCAGTAGGAACAGCAGGAGGCAGAGCAGTAGGAACACCAGGAGTATTAGACCAGTAGGAACAGCAGGAGCAGCAGGAGCAGTAGGAGCAGCAGGAACAGCAGGAGCAACAGGAACAGCAGGAGCAGCAGGAGCAGTAGGAGCAGCAGGGAGCAGTAGGAGCAGCAGGAGCAGTAGGAACAGTAGGAGCAGCAGGAGCAGCAGGAGCAGCAGGAACAGTAGGAACAGTAGGAGCAGCAGGAACAGCAGGAGCAGCAGGAGCAGTAGGAACAGTAGGAACAGCAGGAGCAGCAGGAGCAGTAGGAGCAGCAGGAGCAGTAGGAACAGCAGGAGCAGCAGGAGCAGTAGGAGCAGCAGGAGCAGTAGGAACAGTAGGAGCAGCAGGAGCAGCAGGAGCAGCAGGAACAGTAAGAGCAGCTGATGTATGGACCAGTGTCGCTCTGGGAACTGTACAAAATTTCAAAATGAAAAAAACTGCAATAAAAAAAGTTGTCTGTGGTGACTGCCTGATCTGTCTGACCTCAGAAGCTAAGCAGGACAAGGCCTGGTTAATGCTGAGATGGTGACCTCTGAGACCACCAGGTGCCACCGTCAGTGACTGTGACTGTAAAGTGTGAGACCTTTTGTGGAGGTGAGAGGGGTCACAGATCTGTCTCACTTCTGTTAGCAGCTTTACCACCATCATTAAGTGGATAATCTTTGTGAGTAAAAAAGTCCTATAAAAAACAATGTGTTATTATCACACTATTGACACGTATGCGTTTTTTCTAATATTGTTCTCTTATTTTACTTTTGCTCATACTTGAAAGAATGAGCTTTGGGAGTCACTGTTTGACTCTTTGGGCTGATGCTGAGGGTGGCACATGCAAGAGAATAATAGTGTCTTGGATTGTGTTACGTAGTTCATTTTGTTTGTGGTCTGAAAAGCAGGTTTAAGTGTATCGTGAATTGTAATAAACTTAAAAGTCCACAACCTGCGATCCACGTCTTTTATTATCACATTTAACCAGAAAGTCCCGTTTTGTTTTGTTAGAGAAACCTGATCAAGGTCACAGCCGACACTAAAGCACGTGCTATTCACCTGTTCTGATAATCCACTATAGTCACTTTAATATACTACTGTATGTTATTATTATTACTACTTTACTTAAGTTGAAAATAAACATCTGCAAATGCCTCATGATGCTGCTAACTAAAGTGTTTTCTCCATAAGTGACTTACCCTTGAACCAACTACATACAAATTGTATTATAATCCGTAATTTAATTGAAAACTTGAGCTCGTTGATTCAGCTGTGTATGAATACAGGCCTTAAAAAGTGCTGAGTAGAGACTTTAGCGTGACGCCCGCTCTCCTCCAATCACAGAACGAGGCTGCGTCCTCTAGTCTCTACAGCGCTGCTAAACACAGTAGCATTTTAGCATAAGTGGCTATAACTCCTCTGGCTGTAACTGCAGACTCAGAAAAACAGCTCAAACCACACGACAGTGAGGAAGAGAAGAGGGAACTAAAGCCAAAAAAAGATCAGAGAAGAAATCAAGCCCTGAACATAGTTAGCTTACATCGTATCCTCTGGAGAGACTGGTCTATGGGAGAGACCTGCGGGACCGCCTCGGACTATCTACGCTCGGACTATCTACGCTCGGACTATCTACGCTCGGACTATCTATCCTCGGACTATCTATGCTCGGACTACATTGGGACGCGAAACTAGCGGTAATCTTTCAGTTATATATTTTGTTAGCAGTGCGTTGCTTTTGAACCATTTCATCGGTGATTGTTGTACAGCTTAAGTTGCGCTAATGCTAATGTTTGCATATGCATCAGATCGCAAATAAAACTAGATGGCTCCGTGGGATGAGAGCGTAGAGGAAATGAGAAGCCTGTGAGCGAGTTGGGGGCGGGGCTAAACATTAGAACCTTGCAGAAACGGGTATAGCTCCTTTTAAATAATATCTCCTGTTTGGTGTGTGCAACCTCTCCTCCTTCCACACTAAGTTTCCTTCACCTACCCCTAGATGTCTTCATGCTCATCCACAAATTTGACTTAAAAATTGTTCCACATTCTCAAACATGAAAAGTAAACCTTCTCCCCACTGGAAGAATCTCTGCACGTTTTGTCTCGCCGTGTTGTCGTGTTTTTGCACCTTTTTGTTCCTATTTGAATAAAGTCGTATCACTGCTCCTCACCTTGCACCTCATTTACCGTTTTCACCTGTTTTACCGAAACTCTGATTTCTTTCCTGATAACACCACAATGACAGCAATAATCACAGCTCTAACTTTCCCGATAATGACTCTCCTGCTCTTTCTGATCATTAGAGCAACTTTTTAACGAGCTCCGTGAAGACAGCGTTTTGAGCCACCGGGGCTTCCATAGCTGCACTTCAGCTCGTCACAGATATACAGCAAAAACATTACACATTTATTCACTCAGATGCAGCTTCGTAGGAGATTCCCTCAAAGAAGTATTTGTCTTAAAACAGGGCCAACTAAAATACAGTAGAAATAATACGCCAATACGGCACGGTGGCTGAGTGGATAGCACTCTCGCCTCTCAGCAAGAAGGTTCTGGGTTTGAATCCCGGTTGGACCAGGGCCTTTCTGAGTGGAGTTTGCATGTTCTCCCCGTGTCTGCTTAGGTTTCCTCCGGGTGCTCCGGTTTCCCCTACCACTAAAAATATGTACAATAGGTCTGACATGTGCCTCCTGTTCTGGCCCCACTCCCAAAAATAACAATTGTAAACCGCTTTGAGACTCCGATGTGCAGTGAAAAGGCGGTATATAAATAAAGATTACTACTTACTACTACTACTACATACCCATCAACTTACCCTCCATACACTTAAAATCAATCGAGCAACTTTTATTTGTAGAGCGCCTTTCCTACACAAGGCCTCACAACCCAAATCACATCAGGCATAAATTGTAGACATTAAAATCCAAATAAACATTAAAAATACAATCCCAAAGGGCATTAAAAACACACAATGAGATCACAAGAAAATGAAAAAACTTAAACAATAAAATAAGTATTAAAAACATTAAAACATTAAAATCACACATGGATTAAAATCATAAATAGCCATAGTGCACCTAAAAATAAAATCATTCAGTTGTATGCACAGCTGAACAAAACTGTTTTTAACCTAGACTTACAAACTGCCACAGAAGTCGCCTGTCTCACATTCTCAGGAAGACTGTTCCAAATCCTAGCTGCGCAAATCTGAAATGCAGCCTCCCCATGTTTAGTTCTGACTCTGGGCATCAGCAGGAGGCCCGTCCCCGTGCTCCTCAGAGTCCGGGCCGGTTCATATGGGACCAACATGTCACTTGTCAAAATGTCAAAATGACATTCTTTATTTCAATTCATTTCAATGTATGTTTGTATTTCACTAAAGCACAAGTCGTGTTGATGACTGAAGGCTGAATCAAACAGTTATAACACCGGAAATGATTAAGATTAAGAGATCTTTTGTTAGTCCCACAGTGGGGTAATTTCAATAATAAAAAACACATACTGTAGGAGCCATTGGTCCATAGGGGGCGGGGTGACCACTGTCCTGAAATGTTAATAAATGCTTAAATGACCATTAAAGTCCTGAAATATCCCGGATCATCACTGACCCTCCTGCATCGGCAAGGAGCGACTCAGAGGGTGAAAAAAGTGTGGGAGATATTGAGAGACAAATCCGCTCTCACAGATGTACAACTATAGATACAGGAGTCAGGCTGTAGAACGAGAGTTGGGGCTGTACGGTGCAGAACTGAGGCAGCTCCCAGGCAGGAGTCCAGGTCAGAGGAGACCAGTTTTACAGGAGCAGATTGAAGAGACTCGATTCAAGGGTTCAATACATTTGCAGAAGCCCCCAGTGTGCTCCAGGCAACTATAAAACAGGGACATTGGTCATCTGCCCCTTAAAGACTAATGGCTGTACGTGTTTTTCATCCTTGCATTTCTTGTGTCTGAACTGTTTGCTTCTCAGATCTGGGCTGGCTTTAGAACTATACAAAAATTAATTGAATTGAATCATTAGCAGCTTGTCTGACAATCTATGTTTTTTGTTTATGTTATATTAAAGTTATGTTTTTACTTTAAAGGTATAGAAGGATGTTCCCAAATTTTAGGAAAGAACCGCCCTCTCCAAAGAGAACACCTGAATGATTGACAATCAGAAGGACCAATAGTCTAGACCAGTGTCTCCCAAAGTGGGGTCCGCGGCCCCCTGGTGGGCCGCGAGGGTACTGCAGGGGGGCCGCGGGAGGTCATAAAAAAAATAAAAAAATAATATAATTATTTAATGTTAAATTTATAATGTTTTGTTTGTAATATTAAAATATTTGTGTTCATTATTTGACTTGAATAATCCACTGTAATCATTTTTGTATTACAATGTTTGTAGCAGAGGCTATTTCCCCAAAATAAAATAACCAGAAGAGCCTATTCTTAATGTTGTCTTCTTGGTTATTATTTTGGGGGGCCACGCAGACCCGTTAGATTTTTAAGGGGGCCTCGGTGTTACTGAGTTTGGGAATGGCTGGTCTAGACGATCCACCCGGAAGTAGAAAATCCTCCGATATACCTTAAAGTTACCTACCTAGCCATATGTGGAAATAAAGAGGAATGTTTCAAGCCTTGATGTGGATGG